TTTTTTCACGAGGCCTAAGAAATTTTATTTTATGAAGCCAAAAAGATTTTTCTTAGGGCACCCTAGGACTTGTATGACATTTTTTTAAATTTTTAAAAATCATTTTTTTTTTACGTATACAATTAAACAAAGTATTTAACGTAAACTCTTCAGTGTGTATTTATTTTTGAAAACATTAAACTACAAATATTATTTTGCTTATATAGGTACTATAAAGATTCAATTTTCATAATAATATAAAATATGTATAAATTAAATGTTTACACTAAGTATAAGTATTTAAGTTTTAGACAATAATTAAAAAAAAAATTTCAAGATATTAATGTCAAAAAAGTTTTTTTTCCAGTCTTGGATGTAGCAAAATGTTTGAAATATTATTATTCTTTGTCATTGTCTACTAATAGTAAAATCAACTACAATATATTGCATGCGGGCATGTACAAGATAAGAAGTAATAATTCTTTCACTATAAAATACAATATACTCTCTGTAACTCAAACCTTGATAACTCCGAAATTCTCGACATCTCGAACAAATAAAATTCTCCTTTAAATAACTATATAACACATTAAGATTTTGATAACTCAAAATTTTTAGTAAGCCAAATATTTTTCCCCGTGAGCTTCGAGTTACCATGAATACAATGTATAACATAAACAATAACACGAGCATGCCAAAATTTTCTGTTGATTATTCCTTAGTATGGATATTATATTTTATCATCAAAGCATCAATAATTTATTGTTGTTTTTTATTATTATAATACAATATAGGTACATGCTGAACAGAATATTGAAATTAAAGATTAAAATACTATACATCATTCTTACATGATGTATATGATTACTCGATATTAAATGTGTAAAAACAAATTATAGACATTAAATCCTGAAAAAGACGTGGGGCTCCTAAAATGGCGGGGCCCTGGGTAGCTGCCCCTTCTGCCGACGTTACCTATCTTGCACACATTTTTTTAGATATAATTATAGTTTGTATATTTTTATCCTATAGTTATTTTATAGTTATTTACATTTCAAAGTCTTGGTTTTCAGTTAATGGTTGAAATGACAAAAAAATATTAAGTACTTATTGGGGCCTACATTATTATTAATTAAAAAAGAGTAAAATATAATTTACTAACTAATTTATTTACCCACTCATACCTGCTATTATAATATAATACATTGATACTGTAATAACTATGTCTTCTTAATATATTTTATTATTAGATTAAATATCACATTAACATTAACATGGACTACTCCTTGCATAGAATAAACCATTGTTTAAGATTTATCTACATTTAAGACATATTTTCGTATGTTGTTTCAAATTTCAATAATTTGTATAAATTTGTTAGTTATACAGCATAAGCGCAATATTAATATAATTAACTATGCAAGTATAGGTAGTTCTTAAAATACAACAAATTCTCATTTTTTTTATTATTTTAATTTTTATAATTTATTGGTGTTTATATTATATACAATAATAATTTCTATATAAGTTTTGTACATTAAGTAATTTCTAACTTCAATAACTATATTATAACAATACAATTAATTAATGTGCAATTTATTTTAAAATCACTCAGCAATAGTATCATCTAACAGCTAAAAATGCACCTAATTATTATTATTGTTATGCAAGTATTTATATTATCTGTATTTATAAAAATCGAAACATAATTTTTTTATGTACATTAAATTGTTTATATGGAAGATAAGATAAATATATTTAATTTAAATATAGCTTGTCTAATAATTGTATATGTAATTGTAATATAATATTCCTATTATCTCTCAGAAAAAGAGTTCTTGTCGGGCTAATGTTTGATTAGTTTTTAAATCAATAAACTAGTCGGTTACTATGACAATTGTTATTTGTTTTTGTTTACATAATTGAGTGTAGGTACATTAAAAATGCATGTGCCATGTGGCATGTATACACAAAATTAATCTTATACATTTGCTGTTAAATAACTTTTGAATAACTGAAATCATCTTTTGAAAGAGGTTTTAAGCAATTGGAAATTCAAAAGTAAATTAGGTTATTACCTGTATACAATTTGGTTAAGAAATGAATTATTAGTTTTTTTTTTTTAAAATCATTATATGATTATTAAATATAAGTAATAAGTACCTTTTTGGGTTTATACAATCTAGTATATTTATTATTTTACCTACTTGGTTACTTATTAGTTATTACCTACTACCTACACCTACTATATAGGTACCTACTACTAAACTATACAGTATATTACATAAATTGGCCTTGTATTTTGATAAATCATTTTTTTATTGTTTTATGTTGCCAAATTCCTGTATACAGTTACTCCTATTTACATTTTTAGGAATCCGAATTGTAAACTATGTTACGTGTTGAAGTGACTATGCATTTCGTTTTCTATGACCCATATCATCATAACGACCGTGTAGTATAATTCGCTTCACTGGATTTATTCCGTAACAGGTACTTCCTTGCACCAAATCTTTTTTATACATTATATTATACAGGTACCTCACCAGATATGTATATACTTTATATTCATGATTTACCCCATAACACAGTTCCTTATAGGTAATATACTAATAATACGTTTTTCGTTCCTGGCAACTAACTACTGGAGTATATTAAAAAAAAAAAAAACAAGTTGGCGTATTACATGTTTTCATTTCTACGAAATTTCAATTTTACGAAATAAGATGATATTATAATTTATAATCTTACTTAAAAAAATCTCAATATATATATCTACACATCGTCTCCGTTATATTAATATCGTATCACATTTTAATATAACTATAAATTATATTTTATTATTGTATATAGATAGATTTGTGTAATTAAATATAGGTATGTCAAGTAACAGTCCAATATGTGATCTACAAAAAAAAAAATTATCTTTTCATAAATGGTTTTTATAGTGTAATTGAATTATAAATTATACAACATATTTTAAAGGTCATAAAATATAAGGTAAATCAAATGACAGACATCAACTGGTTAATAATAAGTATAATGAGTAATAACAGAATTACTAACTGGATAATTCGTGTTTCTGCAGTGTCTCGTATAGGAAAGTACCTATTATTTTTACAGTGGATTACCTAAGTCCTAAATATGTTTGGCTTCATTGTGAATTCTATAATAATGATATGTAGTCTACCATACTAGTTCTTAGCCCCCCCCCACTCACACTGATGTTGTAAATGTTAGCCCCGCCAGAAATTTTAATGGATTTGCGCCTATGATGTAGACACGATTATTGACCAAGCAAATGAGGCGACTTTAACAGTGACATAGTGAATGTATTATACTAGCCTAAGTATCTAGTCATGTAGAATGTAGATCATTTTATTATATACTATTATAGGTATACCGACTATTGTAGATCGAACCACAATATGATGATATCAGACCAAATATTTTTCGGTACATCACGTCATTGGACCGCTACCATACAAAACTTAAGTGAAAAATAAATTAAAAATTTTGTACACGTGTATATTATATTATACTATACAGTATCTGCCGCCGCACATTAAAACGTGGTATATCTGTTTTTCTGGGCCGACGACCACAGTATCGCCGCCTCGTCCAGGGCGGTGTTTATGCGGTCCACAATCATCTGCAGACTGTAATGGGCGAAAAACGGCAGCGGGTCCCAATACGCAAATACCATTTCCCGTTTCGTGACCACCGTGCGCACGAGATGCTTGAGCGACTGGACGGTCATCATCCGGGTGACAGTCTCGTAGATCAGCGCCGTCGCGTAATACCGATTCGTCGTTTCGACGACCAGCTCGATGGACTGTGGTGGTGCGCCGTTGGTGACAGCATCCGCATGTGCAACGGCACCCGCATGTGAAACGGCTCCCGCAGCTCCGTTGGAACGGTGTCCACGCTGTGGCGGTGGGCACTGCATAACGACGTGTTCGAAATTGCTGCGGTACGAAGCGTACGTGATGGGCACGCCGACGCGACAACCCAGAGGCACGACCTTCCTTGACGGCGACACGCACACCCTGAACGACAGGTAGCCATCGAACTGCACCGGGACCGCGGACTACGAACCGTGCGGTCCAGTCGTCAATCAGCTCGTTGTGGTCTCTGGCTTGACCGTCGTGCGCGGTGAACGTTACGTTAGCCACCACCCGGCCGGCCTGCACCGTGGTGCACGTTGTGTAGTACGATCCGAGACAGTGCTGGACAAGCAGCCACGGACAGTCGTCGGACACAGGGCCGGGCAGTCTCAGCGATCTCCTGGTGGCCGGCAGCTGCAGGCTGTGCCCCGACTTGCAGCCGGACTGGCCCACGTTGACGATGAAGTGCCGGTCGGCCCGGAACGACACGTTGTCGTAAAGCTTGATGACGTCGTCCTTGGAGCACACGAGCAGGTGTTTGGGCACCGGCAGGCCGACCGTCTCGCACATGCGGAACACCTCTGAGAGGTCGTTGAGCACCGCGACGCCGTCCAACCCGGGCGTCCAGCACCGGCACCCAAGCAGCTCCAGGTGCGGCTTGGCCACCGCGTCGTAGTACGCCGACACGGTGGCGCCGGTGGGCACGTACACGTCCACCCGTTCCCTCTCGACGATCGCCCTCAGCGCGTCCACGTACAGTACGCAGTTGTCGTCGTTCGGCCCGGGCACGGTGTAGTGGCCGTCGACCGCCACCGATAACGAGCACAGCTCTGCCCTACCGTCGATCTCGCACACGATCACCCGGGCGCCTGCCTGGTGAAAGTTCCTCGCCAAGTGCAACGCCTGCACGGTGCTTCCGCCGTTTATCAGCACGGTGAAACGGTCCCTGCTCGAGCTAACGATGCACAGCCGCAAGAAGTGCTTAGACACCACTAGTGGCACCCGTGTACACTTCCAGACGCACCGCAACCACAAGCACAGGCACAGCGACGGGAGACGCACCAACAGCACGTTCACCCACTGCAGGCCTAACAGCGCGTTGGCCATGGTCCAGAAGAACGTCGCAAACCCGTGGATCGTACCTGCCGTCACGTTCTGCGGCTGTAGCAGGCGGCCCGGTGGCGGGGACGTGCGCCTGTCCAGCAGATAGAACGTCGACTTTGAGCGTTTGAAGCTGTGAGACGGCGAGACGGCGGGTGAGGATGGGTAGCTGTCCGTACCGGCGCCGCTGCACCGGTAGCGGTCGTCGGAAATGGGCACTTGGCGAACCGTGTCCGGCATCCTGAACAAACGAACGATCACTGGCGGAACCGAGAGACTTGGTTCTCAGCGTTCAGTGGTCAAAGTTCTTTCATCGTTATCAAAGTTTTATCGGTTTTTTTTCCCGTGTACGGTTCGCTCATTCTCACCTTTGGTTTTGCATAGCGTTTAACGTAATTAAATGGTGTTTAAATAATAATAATGATAACGGTTTATCTAATTATGATTTTAAAACGTATCATCAAAATAATTATATAAACGAACAAATTGTTTTAATAAGATTTCATTTGATAATATGTACATATTGATTGTAGTAATAAAATGCTGTTGTATACAAATAAATTGTATATGTTATATACGTTGGACTGTAATATATATATTATACACATATATAGAAGAGAATTCCGTCGTCTCTTCCTCATTCACAAACTTTTTATCATAACGCATACATAGACTGTGTTGTTTGTGTTTCAAAGGTATATCTTTGTATATACTATTATTACTATACATACTATAACGCTAGAGGTCAAGTACGTTCTATATAGAAAGGCTTACATCGGTAGCATTCGCTACGGCCGTGTTTAATTGTTTTGCTCAAACGTGATGTCTGTCTTGTACACCCCGATGTTATGTTTAGAAACATATGAAGACACTCTAAAAACAATACGAATGTTAAGAAATATTACAATTACAAATGAATTGTGGGAGAATATAAATTGTTGTAGTTTGAACTTTAACTCGCCTAATTATTGTTGTTTTTTTCGTTTTTAATAAGTATTTTTATCGATAAAATTAGGAGTATTAACACTGCGAATATGGAAGTAATAGTTAGATAGATAAATTATTTAAATAAAATAAAAAAAAATAAAACTATTTAACACTTCATTTGAGAGAAATTCAATATACGCATAATATTACATAGGTACATTAGCTTAAGAGAGATTCAAAATTAGGTAATATTTTTTTAAACACATAATAAGTAAATATTTAATAAAAAAATAAATTTTAGTTCTATTCGACATCAAAGTTGGGTTCTTTAGTTAATTTGTCCATTGTGAATTGTGATTGAACAGTAATTGCAGTTAGGTAGGTACTTCAAAAATTAACGGACAAGTTTTTTTAATAATACTCCTCAACATAAATGAAAGAAATTACAATTCAGTTGAAAGTTAGTTATTAAAATATCCACATAAATAGTTTATAAAATTAATTTTCATTTCAGTAAATATGTCTTTAATCCATTTAACAAATCATCCAATTTTAAATTGTAATATATTATTATTATTTACTATCATTTACTATCTTTATCTTATATAAATGTAAAGTTTTTTATAGAGTTAGGGAGTTATAATAATATAATATAATTGTAGGTAATTTATAATATACAATCACGAATAAATTATACTATATTATTCATAATTTTCAGAATATTTATAAGGTACTACATATTATTATATTAATAGGTATTTATTAAACTAAACAAATACATAATAAACATTAAACACTATAATAATTGTACATACAATAATGATTAATCTAAATTGTACAATAACCATTTACTATATAGAGTAACGGGGTTATCCATTTAACGTAACATAAAAATTATTTCAGAAAATATCATTTTTTGAAAATATTTCTTTTATATCATTATGATCCGTTACAAAATAACATTTTTCGAATCAAAAAATTTAATTTTTACCATTTTTTACTCTTTTGAATGACAACATACACTTTTAATTTAATATTCCGAAACAAAATATTATTCCGAGTACTTCAATATTTGAAAATCAAATTTTGGACAAGTAGTTTATTAGTTATAAGTTAAAAGATATAATTCTTATAACTTATAAGTATTTAAAGTTTAGATGAACGGAGTAGTAGACATTTTGCGGATAACACCTGTATCACTCCACTCTCACTATGCTCATCTAAACTTCAAATAATTGTAATTCATAAACTACTCGCCCGAAATTTGATTTTTTTATTATATTGAAGTATTAGGTAATACAAATATTCTCCTTTGAAATAAGAAATAAAAATGAATGATGCTGTTAAAAAAAATTGAATTAATTACTAAGAAAATCTTGATAATAAATAGATATTTGATAGAAAATAAATTGTAAAAAGTTTGCTTTTTAACGAATTAACGACTTAAACATATTATGTGAAAAAATATTATTAAAAACGTCAATAATTTTTGAAACAATGAGTGTTACGTTAAACGGACCATCGGTATACGCTTTTTTAAACATCTTCGTGAAAAAATTTGATGCTAACTATTATTGTACATTTTTAAAAACATACGAGTTATATTATTGGCTACTATTTACATGTGAATTAAAATGTTTTATAGTTAAGTTCGACGATTAAATACTAAATAAAATAACTATAACGGAGTTTTACAAGTCACTAAAAAATGTAAATTTCGCAAATTATATTATTTAAACGAGTTGGAGTTGTGCAGTCTTTCATTTTTGTATAATATATTTATTATTTATATATAACATGCATCTATATTCACCTATATAATTTTTTTTTTATGTATGTTAATATATTATATATTTATATCATGTTATATTTACCTATTCGAAATCTTATGCGTGATTTATTTTTGTTTTAGGTAATTTTTGGCGTCGATATGGATAATCACCGACCAAGGTAAAATATTTTAAAATATTCGTAATTAAAATAATCTTTAAAATAACACATTGAACTATGCATCTATTTTAGTTACCCACCTAGTAGTATTAACTATTAACACTGCATTATCATTTACCAGTGGTTTGTTTTCACGAATAATTTTTTTTTTTTTACTCATTGTTGCACGTGCAATGCAATTTCTCAATGCTTTATAATCGCTTCCTGCTGTCAACTTTCAAAACTTTTGTGATTAATATAATGTCTGAAAGGCTGAACCATTTCACCCACATTTTTCCTCCGAGTAAAAAATAAATAAACAGTGCCAGTATGATTTTACGAGTTAACCTATCACGTTTAGTTTTAAACGCCACCGTACCTAACATAATAATAAAAATACCGAAATTATCTGATCACATAATCACCCTCATTTATTACCCATCATATTTCACCCCAAAATAAAACAATCAATGACAGAAAAACGTTATGATTTAATACCGTGCCGAAATATGCATCAGTCATGCGATCCGTAACTCCGCCTTTAGGTTTTACTGTCGTGTGTCATGGAATCAGAAGTGTCACGTGACGAGAGCAATTTGTCTCCGTATCTGTCGGCGAGATCACGGTTACCCCTTTGCCTACCCGAAGACGCCAACATGGAGATGGCACTGGCACCTGAATCCCCCAAAATTGAACAACAGTCGCAAAAGACACTCGTTGTTGAGGTGGTGTCCCTGAGGCCGATTGAGAAATTCCGCAGGGCCGTTGCTAAAATGCCTAGGGTAAGTCATTTAACTATTTCCAAAAAAAAATATTTTTTTTAAATTCAACGGCCATTCGATTAACGCACAACGCGGGTCCCCTTCTACCACGTTCACTATTCTCGAAACTGCGGAAGTATTTCGGATTTATTGGCTTACCTATACCTTATATAAGTTTACCTAGTAATAAATCAATTATAAACTTTATTTTTATCAGATTTACAAAACTTTTTTAGGGTGACGATGAAACTTTTGAATGAAACACTTTTAGTAGATATACCTATAATAGGTACCTCGTATTTTTCAACACTATTGCGCAACAAAATGAGTAGAAACTATTTATTTTTTTATATACAATTTTTATTTTTAAATATCCAACTAGTTCTCCAAGAAAGAAACCGCTACACCAGGAAAATCCAGAAACGCTCCGAAATTGGGCACCGAAGGTATAGTTCGGTTGGATGGAGGGCGAACAAGTTTAAGATTACCAGCTAATCGGTCACAAAAAACTGAACAACCAATGGATTTAGCTCGGGAGAACCAGGCTTTGCACGAGCGCCTGCGGGAAGAAGCGGCTCGTTATGATAGACGATTAGATACATATAAATTGGCTCAACAGAGACAGGCCGTTCTTGTTAGCAGGCTTCAAGCAAAGGTCGGTATTTTTGATTTTGCTGCATTAGTGCTATTGGTATTATTAAATTTATGATTTTTGTTTTTCAGGTAATGCAGTATAGAGAACGGTGTTCCGAGTTGGAAAGGGAGATGAGAACTAGTATTCCAGCAATTGATAATGTTAGGAGTTATCGTGATTCAGTTAGAGATTATCAGTCAATGGACTTAGATTCTGCAATACGTGCTTTAGAACAAGAACGAATCAAGTAAATATATTTTCCTTTTTTTTTTTTTTATTGTTAGTCACTGCATTATTCTTTTCAAAATTGTAGATCTGAAAAAGTCATGGAACTAAACTCAACGCTTAGAGAACAACTAGATGATGCTCAAACAAGCAATGAAACATTGTCTACAGATTTGCAAAAGTTAACTAGTGATTGGGAAAAAATGAGAGATGAAATGAATGCTAAAGAAGATGAATGGAAAGAAGAAGAACAAATGTTTAATGAGTATTGTTCATTAGAACACGGTAGAATGATGAGTCTTTGGCAGGATGTAGCCCAAGTAAAACGGATGTTCACCGATATGAAATCATCAACTCAACAAGATCTTAATAAACTTCGAGGTGAACTTTCATTAGCATCCAACGACATGGTTACTACTTGCAGTGGCTTAGTGAATGCTGTTAAACGATCAACATATTCTGAAGTAAAGTACCTAAAATAAAAAATATTATAAACTAAACACAGTTCTTATTTCTTATTCAATTTTAGGAAAAACAATATGAACATCTGTTGAAAGAAAATACAACATTACAAAACAAAGTAGAAAAACTCCAAAATGATTATGATACTGTATGCTCACAGTTGCGACAAAAAGAAATGCATTTAGAAGATCTCAAAGCCAATCTTTCTGAATTTGTTAGTTTTATTATTTAAAATTAATCAAGTAGTTTACTGAACTATATTTTATATTACAGGAAGACAAATGTATGGATTCTAATAAAAATGAAAAAGAAGCAGATAATTTGCGTATCGATGTTGATGTATTGATGTCCGGAATGCAGGAAATAGTTAAAGTGTTACAGCATGACAAAGAAATTCTTGGTGATCTAATTAGACCTTTGGCTCCCCCACATGTTCATCTTAGCACTGGAATTATTAAGTCTGACACAAAATTAAAACCAGTATCTGCAACTAGTAACTTTGTCGATAGTACTTTGTCAGCCGTTCAGTCTGTTGTTTATAGATATCAATCAAACATTCATGAACTTCAAGTTCAATTATCATCTTGTGTCGATAAAATGTCAGATACAAAAAAACATTGTGAACAATTAGAAATGTTAGAAAAAGAGTTACAAGTAAAGATTGAAGAACTGAGTAAAGAACTAGATGATTGTCGAAATGTTAATAATCAATTGGGCCATGAACGTGACTCGCTTGCAGAAACACTCGAAAGACTAAGAAATGAGGCTCAAGCATTACAACAAAACAGAATGCATGTCAGCGCTGTGGTAATACATTTTTTTTTTTTAATATTCATATAATATATATTATATATAAGTTTTTTTTTTGTATAAATATTAACACATACCTAATAAGATAAATAAGAAGTTAAGTAGTTATAATTTTTTTAAATTTAGGTAGAAAATATGAATTCTGATTATGATAAAATACAAAAAGCTAATAGTAAATTACAAAAATTAAACGATACCCTGGAAGATGAAAAAATGTTCCAACAAGGTGAAATAGATCGATTACTAAAGGAAATCGACATAAGAATGTTGTCAGAAAATGATGTACAAGACAGGTGTAGTTGTTTAAAAGAAGAATTGATTAGTATCAAAGAAGAATTGAATCAAGTTTATTTGGATAAAGAACTTTTAGAACAACGATGTCTAGAACTTGAAATTTTGCAAGCTAAAATGGAAAAAAATAAAGGTAATTATTTAAACATTTTTTTATACAATGAAAAATATTTTTAACTATTCCAAGTAACGTAAAATACGATCAATAATATTTTTGGATTTTAAAATATAAATCCATGATTATATTATACTAATAATTAGTTATAAACTGAACCACTTATGTCAGGTTGCACAACAGTGTGATCAATTTAACGACTTATTAAAATTTAATGGTCAAATCAGGGTGACTAGTCATTTAATGTTTAGTTGATTGCTTAAATTCTAAAACTTCTATAATTCTTAATGTAATATATATAAACCAATAAATAATAATATTAATAATCAAGATCAGTAGCATGCTATTAACATGCATAAAGTATAAACATTCTAATTTAATGCTTTTCTATAAATCATCACTCATATTGTATAATAACTAGTCCTAAATGGTGTAGTTTAAATGTATATTGTAAAATAGGTTTAACATACTTAAATTATTTTTTATTTAATTTTCAAATGTACTTGTTGTTTATTTAATACTATAAAATTGCCTTAGGTGATCTTGAATCCGAGTTAGAAAAAATTGCATCAGACAGAACTGATTGCCATGAATCATTAGCTAAGGCAGAGTCACTTATCCTGGACGGAAACACAGAGAAAAAAAATTTACAAAAAGAACATGAGAAATTAGTTGAAGACAAAAAAAATTTACAAGTTCAAGTAGATGATTTATCTAGTGATTTAGTTGCTCTCAGAAAAGAACTACTTCAAATGGAACAAGATAAGCAAGAATTAGAAAATGAAAGGTCAAATGCAACTGAAAAGTGGAAATCGGTATTGTTGGAAAAAGAAAAGGTACTTTAATAATAAATATTGATTAAAATAAGTTATTTTACTACCCAAGAATTTTCCATGCCTATATTAATAACATTACATGCCATTTACTGAGATTGAAGTCTCTCTTAAGTGACTATCATAACCGGAACATGATGTCAATGTATATAAAAAATAAATATTGCTTGTGGGCATCGGCCACCCATACATTTATCATTTATGATACATTAACAGTTTACGCACTTACATTTCAATTCACAGGGCCAGTTTTTTTAATATAATATCTATGGTTACAATATGATTTCTAAATATTTTAAATTACTCAAATTGATTTGTGTATTTCCATAATAATAACACTAACAATACATTGATAAAACAATAATATATAAGTAACAAGTATTAAATGTATTACTAATTATATATTTAGTTGGAGAATGAATTAGAAGAATTATTAAAAGATAGATCCCACTTGGAGGATCAGTTGGTAAATGAAAAGCATAAGAAACAATCTCTTAATGAAGAGTTAATGAGATTAAATCAAAAAATTGATCATACAATAGAATCTAACTCTAGATTAAATAATCAACTTCAAAGTATTGTAAAAGAAAGTGAAGAAAAACAGGTAAAGTTATTACATAAAAGTTGCTCTATTAAGAAGAAATAAACTTGATTAATAATATTCTTCAGATTGCTCTTGATAGTTGTGCTAAGCAATTGGATAATTTGGAACGACAATTATCTTCTCTTTGTGGAGAGAAAGAAAATCTGGAATCAATATTATATGATGTGCAACATAATTTGGAAGTATCAGAAAATCGATGTAAACAAACAGAAAGGGAAAAACAAGAATTACTAATAAAACAAGTATAAACTTAAAATAGCTTATATTGTAAATAATTATTTACAGTATTTTTTTTTACTTAGGAATCAATGAAAGGTGAAATATATCGTTTGTGTAAAGATTTAGAAAGTTGTGAGCAAGCAGCTAATCACACTAAGTCTGAACTTCTAAGTCAATCTAGGACTCTGGAAATAGAATTCCAGCAAACTATTGAAGCATTGAAGAAACAAGCTGAAGAAAATATTCAAAAATTGTCTAGTGAAAAAGTAGTTAAAATTTGAAATATGTTCTTTCTTAAATTATAATTTATTGTTCTAGCATAATTGTGTTTATCCTTGATTGTTAGGAAACTCTTAAAGTCCATTATGAAAGAAAAATTCAAGAAGATTTAAATCGATTGGGTAAAAACAAAAATTGTGAAATAGAAAAACTAAAACAAAAATTAGATATGTTGCAAAAAAATATTGACACAATAACACAGCAACACGATGAAGCACTTTTGAGGGCTGAAAATGACAAACAACAAACTTTATTATTAGGTAATATATTTGTATTTAGAAAAAAAAAAAATTACACAAATAATTCAACATTTAGTAATTCAAGCATTTCATTTTAGTTCATCGAGATCAAAAAGCTATTGTTAGCAAGTTAGAAAGCGTCAAAAAAGAATTAGAAGGAGAAAAAGAGAGTTACGAACGTTCACTACGAGAAACACGTGGAAAATTAGAGAATGAAAAAGGTTCAGTGACCTCATTACGTGAACAGTTAGCAAAAATCAAAAATGAATTAAATGAATTCCGTATGCAGTCCGAAAGTGAAAAATGTCAGTTAATTGGTCAAATAGATGAAATTCAAACAGAACGAGATAGACACATACAAGAATGTATGGAAATCAAATCTCAACTGTGTATGGCAGAAGACAAACTTGACAATTTCCAAGCACATTTGAATGATATAAGTAGAAAGTTAAAAGAATGTAAGTATTATTAATTTTCATTTATATTTTTGTTTTTTAACTTGATTTTTTGTTTCTTTGAAGCTGATTCAATAGCTGATCATACTCGAAAAGATTTGATGGAGACCAGGCGAAATTTGAATGAAACCAGCATTGAAAAAGAAAAATACCATAATTCAAATAGGGAACTACGAGAACTTATTAAAAAATCTGAAACAGATAAACGTGAACAAGGAAGACATTTAGAAGAGGCATTGCAAAAAATTGCTGCTATAGAAGATAAATGTAATCAAGTTGAAGCAGAGCGCGCTCGTTTAAATGCTGAATGCAAAGAAGCATGTAGAAGACTTGAGGAAACTGAAAAGACAAGTAAAGCTCTTCAAGAAGATCTTCAACGAGCAGCTGTGACAGGAGAATCTCGTAGAAATGAACAGAAACAACTACAGACAAAATTGGATGCTGAAACCGAAGAAAAAGAACGTGCATGTGAACTTGTTCAACAACTTAGAAGAAAGGTAATTTAATTTCTAGATAACTATAAATATCTGTTATAGGTTATTGGCTATAATTATTCATATATATTTTATTATAGGTAAACGAATTGGAGGGAATATTGGAGGGTTATGAACAAGAAGTGATGCGGTTACGCCATCGTGTTGATGAAGATGAATTACGTTGGAAAACTCGTGAACAAGAACTACTTGATCGATTGGATGATGGATTAGGCCATGAACGAAAACTTGAAGATCAAAAACATAACCTAGAAGTCTGTTTGTCGGATCAAACTGTTCAAATCCAAGAACTTAAATGTAAATTGAGTGCATCAGAGGGTCGTCTTCGCTCTGCGGACACTCAACTTGGAGATTTGGAAAGGACTAAACGTGATGTGGAAAATCGTTTAAACACTATTTGGTCAACTTTAAAACGAGTTACAGGCATGCAAGCAGATGGGTCTGTCAGAATAAGGAAATGGAGTCCAAGCAGAAGTAATAATATTTTTCATTAATATATTATTTAGACTACCTTACGTACACATTATTTTAATAACATATACATGTTCATTTGTAACCAATTTAAAATATAATTATTTATTTTAATATATGTATTGTCAGTTAAAAATTTACCAAATTAATTGAGAATTGCTGATTACAAATATTATAATTATATTTTACTATTACAAACATTGGATGATTATAGGTGTATTATTTCAGTATGCCTTAAATCTATTTTTAATATTTTTAAATAATAAATATAATGACATTTTTTTGTAATTTTAGTAATGGAACAAGGTTCTGAGCCAATTCGCATGGATGGGAAAATCGTGGATCCTGAAGTAGTTAAAAAAGGTGTAAGAAATTTGATGCAACAAGTAGCTCAAGTAGAAAGAGAAAAAGATGACTACAAATCTCAAATTTCAAATATGAAAAGGCAACTTGAAGAAATTGGAGACATTCATAAAAAAACTGATAGTAAATTGAATTCAACTATTCATATATTAAGGAAACTTCAAGATGAAAAAGTTGAGTTAGAATCAAAGCTCGGGCAAAAACAATCAATACTCTTATCTCAAGTACATATATATATATTTCTTATTATAAATTTACATTTTGTGCTGATTAAGATGCTTTATAGGCAGCAGAAATTAAAGAAAAATCAGACGAAATTAAGAAAAATAAAGAAATATTAACAAGTCAAGAAACTCTCATGCATGCTGACAAAAATGAAAAAATGCAATTGAAAGAACGTTTAGAAAAGCTAAAACTTCATATGAGTCAACTAGAAGCAGAAAAAAGACATTTACAAGATGAGTTGACTCAAACTGAATCAAAAGCTACTAAATTGGAAATACTTAGAATTGGCCTTGATGGAGATTTGCAACGGTTACAAATGATGTTGCAAGAAAAGGATAGTCATATACAAGTAATAATATTAGAAAAACATTATGTTATTTCTACATAATATTATATATTTTAATTTAATATTTAGAAACTTGAAGAAAAACGTGAGAGTCATTCTAAAGCTTCTGCTGCACTCGAGGAAAGATGTGTTTCATTAACTGCTGCTATTGAGCGTTTGAATGCTTCATTAGCACATGCTACTGCTAATGAATGTGATTTAAAGGCTCAAATCCAAGCTCTTCAGAGATCTTTGCATGATGCTTCTATGAGTTCTGCTTCACATAGTGACAAATATAAACAGGTAATGTCATATTATTATAATATGAACGAGAATTACTCAATTTCTGAATTTACACATTGTTTTGGTTATAAATATATATTTTTTTAAATTTCTTTTACTAATTGATAAATATGGTATTAATGGTTACTCATCACATGGAATGTTAATTTAGTTTTTAACTTTTTTAGTTGCAAAGAGCATTACAAAATTGTGAAAATGAAAAAAAAATTGCTATTGAACGTTTGGATGTAGCACAACACAATTTAGCTGATTGTCGCCGTGACCAACAGTCAGTGAATGATTCTATTATTAGACTACAAATGGATTTAGAAAACAAAGAAGTACAAAAATCTAATTTAGAAGCTCAATTGAGAGCTTTGGGAAATAAATCACTGCCAAGACAATCTAACAAAGATCTCTATGACGATAGCTCAGATCTTAGATTTAAATTACAATCACTCAACGATAAGGTACAGTGAATTAGAACAAGTTATATGATGGGTAATTGAAAATTAAATTTATTGTATAGGTTCGTATGCTAGAATCAGAAAAACGAAGTTTGGAGAAAAAAGCTTTATCAAGGAGTAAAAGTTTTGAAAGAGTTGATTATGAAGGAAAATTTAGTCATGGTGGACGCTTTACAGAAGAAAATAGAGATTTGAAAAGTAGATGTGACGATTTAGAAAGGAAGTTATACGAAAAAGAAGTTGAATTAAAAAATCTCAAAATGTCTTCATCTGATTACAGGTAAATATACATGGTAACACAAATAAAAATTATTTAAAAAATGTATTTATCATATCTTTCTTTCATCAGCTCAAATATACCTGTAAAACACACCGATTTAGAACGTTATCGTGCGGGACAGTTGCAAGCTGAACGCATGTTAGAAGCACGTGAGCAATCGCATAGACAACAAATACATAGATTAGAGAATCAAGTAAAATAATTTATAACTCCTAAGATTTATAAGATTTGAATGCCTACGAGTTGACTAAATATGATGTATATTATAGGTTGCGATGTTGAGGGATCAGTTGACGGAAGAGAGTAAGAGACGTCAAGCGTACATTAACAAAACGACCAAAACCAATCGCGAGGCATTGGCGTTGAGACAAGTTTTGGACAAGTCGTTGTCTAAAATCGCTCAAGACCCATCGCCAGATGCTACTTTATTGAAACACGAAGCACGCACATTGCATCATGCCATTCCTTTGTCTAAGTAGATTAATTACTAATTTGTATGTCATATACATTTCTTGCAAAACTATATTATTTCTCATATAGTTCCTATAAAGCGCACTATATAAACAATTATCTTAGTGAATATATTCAAACGATCAATTTTATATAAATCCTCGTATGTATCTATTTATTATAATGTTTGTTTTTAGAGTATAATATTATGTTCAATACTCTAACCATTAGATTGTATTTATGGTACAAACGACGACACTTTTTTTGCTATTCTTTATCGTTCAACATTATTAACAATGTTTAATGAAACTCAAAACATTATGGTTAAGAACGTATAATTTAAATTTAATGTTGTTACGTAATATTATTTAGTATTTTATTATTGTTTATTATAATCATTATATACAGCTGAATTTCACATATACCTATTTATTTTTATTTTTTAAACCAAAACAGTCAAAGTACTTAACTGGTAGGTACTGACTAGACTACTAGAGCCTAACAACTTTTTGATTAATTGGATTAACTGTATTTGAGATTCAATATTACAGTAATTTGTACTGTATCGAAGTGTTTCGCAGTATTTCTGGCATTTTCTGTTGTCTATAATAGTGATCAAAACAGCGTTAATAATAATTTATAATAATAGTGAAATTGCATATTCACAGAATATAATATATGAAGATAATAGATATTGAACAGAACAATTAAAGAGGAAACTATTAATGAGAAATAATAAGTAAAAAAAAAGGGTTAAGAGTGACGGCCAAGAACAAGCAAAGCGAGCAACACGAAGTCGCATTTGTGGCTGACAACCGTACCGTGGCCCACAATGGTGACCGATTTAAAAGGTTAAAATGCTCAAACACAGTAAAAAAAAACTTTGGTTACTAAGGCGTATTATGTAAGTCGATTCCTCTCGGATTCCCGTACGTGTCGGGTCGACAAACGCGGGATATAGGTACTCCGTTATTGTATTCTAGTTGGTTACTGTGGGATAAACGAATGTTTGATTTGAATCAGCCGAAGTAGACTGGGCGAATTGATTTCGAACTGCGTACGATTTTGTACTGAATATGGGCAATCTAAGGTACCTCTTCTATATGAGGCGCCCGATTTCGGTTTGGAAGGCAATCAACTCGAAATGTGTCTATTATATAGTGACTCGCGGGGAAACGTCCGGGGCAAGTTGGTGGCAACTGGAGAGAGCCAATCAGTATAATATTAGAGCGAAAGAAGGTTATAAAAAAAGATGAAGTATAGTGCACGCTAATGATTATGATTATTGGGGGTGTCTTCTGGTTAGGTTCGGTTTATACAGTGCATTGACCGAAGAGGTTCACACAAATCAGAAAAAAACCTTTAATAGTTATAGTATATTATTATAGTAGTGGTACTATTCTATAGAATATACATATATGTACTATTATACCATTTATACCTAACTATTATACCTACTACAGCGCAGGTGAAAATCTGACTCTGATAGAAACTCAACATAACAATCTGCAGGTCTGCACTCTACCGCAGATCGATTACTGCACGACTTGGCTTATCGCTATGTTGATTATTATAAAACGCCAATCAATAATTTTAGCGCAAAGAGCTAAGTAGGTACATTAATTATTGGGAATTTCGAAATTTATTATCTTCGGCAGTCACGAGCTCGATTGAGCGTTTTTACACTGCGGCTTCTGCTGTGATTACGTTTGGGTTTGATGTACTTGGCATTTTACTCGGAGCTTATAAAGTCTAAGCACTTAGAGCAGAACCTAGGCACCTGGCGATCTGGCTGCGCATTTATGGACAGTAATTAAGTAATAATAGTGTAGATCCGGGATACCGCGACTCGTTATGAAACGTTCTCATGCAACAGTGTGTTGTGGTGTATTCAAAATTTTCATCACACTTTGGCTTTGAATTTATTGTTTTTCTGTGTTTTGATTATAAACATAAACAGTCCTACGTAGTGGCGGCTATCCTCAAATAAATATGTAAATGTATTGCTGACGAAAATTCTGAGGATCCAAACACCTACAAACATTTATTTAACGTTTATGTTACATAGCTTTTTAAAAAGAAGAAGCTTATTTTGATGTTTTAAAGTTTAAACTGCTCTAAACTTTTTATTTAAAGGCAATTTATACATTGATGGAAAAAAAAATTGGAAAATATTACTTTTTTCAAACTTGGCGGCATGCCTGTTGATGGCTTTTTTAATACAAATTTTACTTTAGTGAATTTTGTAGCGGAAGAACAGCCGGGTGAACTTCAAAACAAAGCTAGATGGTTGACGGCACCGTCGAGAAACAATTTTGGTCAAAAAAGTTTCATAATTGTTGAGAAACAAGGGAAAGGATAGATAATATAGTTTTTAAAACGACGTTTATTTAGATTTTGAAAAGGTAAGAGATTATTTTGACCCCTCAAACTGTGCTATAATATTTATTTAAATGGCTCTATATACGTTTATGGAAAAATAATTGTGGAAATGTTACTTTTTTTCGAACTTAGGTGTTGGCGACATAGGTACCTATTGATGGCTTTGTGATTGGCTATTTGCGAATCACCTGTTGTCAATTTCCAATTGGGAAGACCATCATACTTATCAAAAAAAATGTCCATTAAAGATAATTCTCAATAAAAGAGGAGGAATTTTAAATGTTTTAGGAATTAAATATTTTATAACGTTTTACTAAAAAATTCTCAGCACATTTTCGTAATATTAATGAAGTGAAAACATTTTAATAAAACAATCAAAAACTGTACAATTATGATATAATAGGAAAATCAAAAATATATTCTCTTACAATAGGTAAAAGCATAGTCGCAAATTGACTAAATTTTTTGGGGGACTCAAGCCCCCCTCCACAAAGGTCTTAATATAAGTAAAACAAATGTTGGAGGGAAACGCTCTCCATAAAATCCCCCACCCACTGAGCAACTATCGTTACGGATATATAAAAATACAAAGTATTACATTTTTAGAATATATTTATTTTAACAAAATTCTCCGTTCTTTTTCGGCAAATACATTTAAAATATCTTCTGTGTTCAAATTATAAGATAAATCCTTTATTCCAATAAATATTAAAATATAACCTAACAAGTAAGTAATAAACATATATCTTAGTCCGTGGACCGTGGTAACAAATAATAATTATTAATAGAGTTAGGATGTTGATGACCTTAAAAACACACAAAAATGCCCTAAAAAAAATGCAAAAATGCCCTTAAAATCTATCTAAAATACTAATTATTAAATAGGTGAAAAACTTATTTATAAATAATAATTTTTATTATAGATATGGGTATAATAATGGGTGTAATAGTAGAAGCATTTAAATAATTTATAAATAAATTTCAATATTAACAATAAATTAAAAAGTAAAATATAAATTAAAAAAAATTATACTAAAAATATTTTCATTATTAGTTTTAGGATGTTAATGTTATAATAATATTCATATTGCGTTGTGCCGTTGTTGCACTGTACAATTAATGTGGCCATCTAGCATTTCAGAGATGTTAGTTACAATTTTAAATCCATTATTCTTCAAAATGACATTCTCCTAATAGTCCAAATTCGAAGTTAGATTTTAAATAAATTAAATTTGTTTCCAAACTTGGGTGTAACATTTGCCCTAAAATCTATAATTTGTGAAAAATGCCCCACATTGTATAAAAAGTACAAAAAATGCCCTAAAAGATGAAAAAATTACCTAAAAATGTTGAAAAATGACGTTAAAAAACAAAAAAAAATGCATTTATAGCTAAAAATGCAAAAAAAAAATGTAAAATAAAATTAGAATATTCTAAATCAAGGGACAAATTTTTAGCTAGGATAGCATTGTACAGAATAAAAGGAAAAAAAATTCAAAAGTCATCAACATCCTAACTCTAATTATTAATGATAACAAAATGCTCCGTTCAAAAATTGGCGCGTAAACCGTCGATTGTGGAGGTCAACAGCAACCACGGCATTATTCTTTGGCTATAGATACTATAGCCGTAATCGTGACACAGCCCTCATAGTTTATCACCTATAAATTACTTATCGGTTATCAATTATCAGTTTGACCACGAGGCACGGACTAAGATATGTTATAGTATTTTTTATAAAGATTTAAAAAAAAACTAGCATAATAATAATTTTTTTTCAATAATTGTATTTTGTAATTTGATTAAGTTTTTAAAATATATACATGTTTAGTACTACAGAATATAAAAATTAGTACTAATTACTAGATTTTGAACTGGGGGGACTTAACCGAAATCTGGGGGGACTAAGTCCCGCCAAGGCCCCCCTATTTGCGCCAATGGGTAAAAGACAATATCAATTCAATATAAATTCAATCAAAAATAATCATGAACGCTAAGTAATATCGTGACCTATCAACTACTCCGAAAAAAGTTCGTGATTCATTCAATCTCGCTATGACCATAATCCAGGTATTCGTGTTGGGGTTGTAAAATTCTGCAGAATCCAAAGTAAGTTTGTTCTTGTCGCAACCACCGACGAAATACAATAATCCATTTAAATATTTAATACAGTTACTCCTGTAACTTAAAATAATTTAACAAAATATTTTTCATAAATTAATTTAGAGTAATTACCTGGATAATATCGAAAAAAATGCATATCTGAAATAGTAGTTCAAATCCAGTACTTGGTTGGTATGCTTCAGCACTCCTGTGAGTATTTTTTCCATCATAACCGCCTACAGGCTACAACATACAGTATACCATCTAAGACTCTTACACAATGCGCGTGGGTACACACATTTCTGCGACTGGTTTCCATGTAGGTATCGATACTGGGATAGTAACATTCAACAGACTTCAAATACTCAATTGCGTTTTGTCGATCATTACATCCTCCAACATTCTGTTCAAATTTCAAATACCTAATCGAATGATTCAAATGATTCAATTTAAGTCGGCAAACAATAAAATTATATTATTTTGTTGTTATTCATTTGATAACAATTATTACTATCTTAGTGATAAGCACGGTATTTATAGACTT